GGGGGGGGGGGGGGGGGGGGGGGGGGGTAAATAGTTGGCGCGCACCTCTTCAATAGCAGCGTGCCACACTACAAAGCCATACACACAGTATGGTGAGTGTGTTACAGCAACAGCTACGCACGCGCAAGGCCAGCAGCTGCCCGGGGTCAAACCCCGGCAGCAGCAAGATCCCGGATCTTGATAATATAATCCGGGAGCAGGGCGGGGCAGCGTGGGCGTGTGGCACGCGCGCGCGCAGCGACCTTGGCCTTGGCGCACGCGTTCGTGATGATGAGTCCTTTTTCCGTCGTGTGTCGCTCTCCTGCTGCACCTTCTTTTTCCCTTCGTTTTCCTTCGAAAACCGTCCCAAAAAACGGCGAAAAACCCCACTGTCGGGTTTTGCTGTTTTTCCCTGCTGTGCGGTGGTGTGGGGGTGGGGAGCGGTGAACGTTCCCACTCCGATACCAGTGTGGCGGACCCACCAGGTGTGGTGCTCTGCCTGGGATAGAGATGGAGATGGAGGAAGAAGGGGGAGCGAGATGGCACAGCGCAGCTCCCACGCCAAACTCCAACGCACGTATTCCAAACTGTGCGAATGCAGAATGAATCGGAAAACAGACAACAAATGGGGTATACCTAGCGGACTGACGGGACTGGAGTGGACTGGCTGGTACCGACAGATGTACTGACCTGGACTGGACTACCCGAATACAACACAATCCTCTGAGAACAGGCCAAGGGGCTGGTCTCACAGGCCAACCAGAGGTCCGCTACACGTCGGAAACAAATTATCGGTATTCCAATGGGAACGAATGCTGTCCCATAAATTTCTAATCTAACGCTGTATTGGGATGAAGCACGCTTTGTTGATGACATTCGTCAACATGATCTTAAAGTTGCTCAACAATATGCCTTCACCTATCGCCTCATTGATGATGTTCTTTCATGGGGACATTTACCTCCTCCACCAGAATACTATGGGCTGCTTATACACATCTAGATGTGTATAAGAGACAGGGTAGGGGGGGGGGTGTAAATAGCTGCCACGCACCTCTTCAACAGCAGCGTGCCACATCACAAAGCCATACACACAGTATGGTGAGTGTGTTACAGCAACAGCTACGCACGCACAAGGCCAACAGCTGCCCGGGTTCAAACCCCGGTAGCAGCAAGATCCCGAATCTTGATAATATAATCCGGGAGCGGGGCGGGGCGGCATGGGCGCGTGGCG